TGTTTCTGTGGGCAACACATTCATTGTTGAAATAATCTTCACTGTCAGTAAAGAGAAGGGACCTCCTTGTTTGGGCCTGATCCAAGCCGGCAGGATTACTTCCCTTTGACTTATTCGAAAGTATAAAAATGCAGCAATATTTTTACTCGGATTTTTTTTTCTCTAATCTTTATTTTTACATTTTTCCAACACTTTTCATAAAGTGGATCACATGGGTGTAGGGGGCGGGGTGGGTGTGTGTGTGTACCGGTTATACTTTGGTGTAAATTATGTCCTACAATGAAATATTATTAAGCCATAAAAAATGCAAGGAAATCCTGCTATTTGTAAAGCCATGAATGATCCTGGAGGCCTTACGCCAAGGGAAGGAAGTTAGACACAAAGACTGTATGATCTCATGTATATGTGCAATCTAAAAGAAAACCACCCAAACTCACAGAAACAGACAACAGGTTGGTGGTGGTTTCCAGGGGTAGAGAGCGGGAGATGAGAGAAGTGGGTAGAGTGATGAGAGAAAAATTCTGAGATGTCCCTGAATGAAATGACATGAGTCAAAGGGTTAGACTGTGGGAGACAGAGACAAGAGTGACTGAAGTTCATTGCTGTGGGCCGGCTTAACCAGAGGCAGCTCACATTTCTGAAGGTATGTTGCAGGTTTTTATTTTTTATTTTTTTTTAATGCATGGGGGTGACATGGGTGAATAAGATTACATAGGCTTCAGGAATACAGTTCTACGGTACATCATCTGTATTTCGTCTCGTGTCCTTACCGTCCAAGTCCCCTCTCATCGCCATTCATCTCCCCTTTACCGTCTCCTATCTCCCCCCTTTCCTCCGGTAATCACCTCACTATTGTCTGTGTCCATGAGCCTTTTTTTTTCCCCAGTGACTCAATCCCGTCCCCCTTCTCACCCAGCCCCCAACACCCTCCCCCTCCGACAGCCGTCAGTCTGTTCTCTGTGTCCATGCGTCTGTCTCCACGTTGCTTGCTAGTTCATTCTTCACTAGATTCCACGGAGGAGTGAGACGAGGTGGTATGTGTTCTTTCTCTGACTGGCTTACTTCCCTTGGCGCAGTGCTCTCCGGGTCCATCCGTGCTGTCCGGCTTCAGACAATGAATGTTGGGGCTTTGAACCAACTTCCAGGCAACTGTCTAGAAAGTAGCTGACCACCCGGTACGGCTACGTCCTGCTTACGTGTGACCTTTCAGAACTGTTGCCCGGAAGCAGTTGAAAGTCATACAGGTGTCTTCCTTAGGGACAGCTGTACTTTCTCCTTTAACTTTGGGTCAAGTTACTACCTTATCTGTTTATTGATTTTTTTTTTCAAAGAAGCAGCTTTTACATTCCTGTTTCCTAACCCACTAATTTTTGCTTTAATCTTGTTTCTGATTATGTGTGTGCGCGTGCTTGCGTGTATGTTGTTGTGTCTTTAAAGTTTACAGATTTGGATACGGATACTTATTTTATTACATAATTGGTCTTTCTGGGCAATGCATTTTGTATCGTATTTAAAGTTGGTTTCACTCTGAGCACAGACCAGCACTATCCTGTAGATCACGGCGTGCATCATTTTTAATTACTCTATCCTGCTGAATGATTCTGCATTCATTCATTCTTTGACCAAATTATTTCTGATACTTAAAAGAATTGTCATGTGGCAGTCGCTTATTTCCTTGTATCGACATCAGAGAATGTCGCCTATACTACTAATTTCTCGATCTCAATTGACAGGCTCATTGTGATCGAATACAATTATTTTTGTTAGCTGTCATTCAACATGGAAAATGGAATTTAGTCTACATTTTCATGGTAAAAAGTCTGATGTATTTTTTTTTGGCACTAGTGCTGGGCCATTTCCCAAGCACCCCTCTCCCCATCTACACCCCAACTCTATTCTATGGGGAGGGTTGTACTTTAGCATCATCTATAGAAACAGAGACCAGCCTCCCCCCAAAAAACTGTTCACAAAACTTACCAAAAAAAAAAGTTTATGAACTGGAAATATTTCCCTTTCCATCACTGAAATTCCATCCATCAAACAGTGATGGGCGAGGCTTAGAGAGGAAAGAGTACCACATAAAGTTTTAGCATCTTTGTAAGTCTATACACCTACTAACTTGAGACACACCAAGTGTAGGCAAGTCAGACTTGCTTCACCCGGGCATTTTTCATGTGGTTACAATCAAATCTTCTGTTCAGACCCCAGGGCTGAGTGTATGAGTCCTCATGGAGGAAGGGCCCACACCCTCTCTGAATCCCTCAGAGCAAAGCTCTGTGTGTGGGGAAGGGTCCTTTTGTTCCTGACCCCAACAAGGGTGGCCAGTTGTCTCCATGGATGGGCCCTGGGGACATGTCACCCAGCCTTGGGGGTCAGTGACATCCCTATCAATTAAGCTCTTTCTGATGGAGCTGATGAGGGACAGGAAATTTCCTACTGGTAAACATCATCTTATTTCTTATTTGACTCATGTAGGCATCCATCCTAAAGAAAACATTTTTGTTGTGTAGTATATTTTCAGGAATAGAATAGCATTTTTAGTTCTACTTGGATGGCTTTTGCTGGGGGGGGGGGGGGGGGGAATTACTTGGGCCTCTTTGAAATTATGGCCAAATGGGAATGAGCCCCCTTTCTATGAACATAATAATAAAAGAATAATGTTACGTTAATTCCAGTTCCAAAGGTTCCCAAAAAGAAAAAGAAAAAAAAACATAGTGGACTGTCAATTCTTGTGTCAGCTCTGATCAGGTCCACAAACATACCTAAGTCCCACTTTCAAAACTGCTGCTTTAAACAATACCACAGGATTCAGGCTCCTTGCCTAATCATGCTTGATCCTCTCAACACCCCTGCAGAGTACGGAACCCAGGTCCCACGGCCCCTCCTGAATGTCATGATCGTTATCTGGTGCAAGATTCTATGGGAATAAAAAACCGTGGCATTTCACAACATCAGGTAGCGTCCGTTAGAACAGAGTTCTCCGAGCTTTTCGGGCTGTTTAAAAATCCCCCTCTGATGTCTTAGCCACCACTCAAAGCTCACGGAGCCTTTGGCATCGGCTCAGTCCTTGAGGGAGGGCACACGCTTAGATTTCACGTCGAACCACTCACCCTGCATGCCAGTAACAGCCAGGCAACCAGGGCCTCCTGATGGGGGAATTCTCTGGATAAGAAGGAATCATGAGGGAAGGGCTACGGCAAGGGTCACAGTGGACACAGGCTGAATGCTGACTCATCGTTGGCGTCACGTCACAGGGGAGAGGCAACGTAAACATACGGGAGGCTGCGAAGTGGACCAAGAAATACTGCGTCTGGCGGCCCACAGAGAAAGCCCAGGACTCCCACACTCTCCTGGAGTTTCGTGACGGCCCCCTTTGTCCCACCTGGCACACCATCCCTACTCAGAGACTGCAGGTGTGCTTCTGGTAGCTAGGGTCACGTGCTCCACCTGCTCGTGGCCATGTATGTGGGGGAATCACAGTGTCTGTGGCCTGGAAATACACTGAGTACCTACAGGTTATTTATACCCACAGGCCACAGTGATATCAGCAAGTAATTTCACCTCTTGGACTCATCAGGATGATGAGGCAGAAAACACAATAAGGGGGAGATGGGGAGTTCTGGGAACTAAACTCATGCTTTGTTGAGTGCTAAGCACATGGTAGAAGCGCTGCAAACACGTGAGATGTCTAATCTCCTGGGACGCGTATTTTCAGCTCCGTCAGCCCAGAGGAGAGCAATCTCAATGAATTCAGACAGGTCCACTCAATGGTTAAAACCATGTGCTCACCTCACATTCTTTCCTTGTTTGTTACTGAAAAGACAACAAAATTGTCTTTTAAAAATTGTTCACTCAAACACTGTAATTTTCCTATTCTTACCAATTATTTATTTGTGCATCTGATGCTGGGTTATTAAATGATTGCAGAGTTGGGGTAGTTTGATCTTCCTGGCACATTTTAACTGAATTATATGCCGTCTGTATTTATCTCCAGGGATGCTTTTATCCTTAATATACATTTTGTCGATAAGAAGGCACAGCCTCCTGTTGGATCGATTTCTTTTTTATCCTATCGCTTTTAATGTTCCTGTATTCTTACATTCGTAGCCGTGTCTTTTAAACAGCATAGAGTTTCATTTTCATTATAATTAAGGCTGGAAAACTGTGGCTTTTAGTTGCTAAGACATGCTCATGCAATCTAATTATGGGGTATTTGTGTTCTAAACTTTTGACATGACTGTTGCACTTAATTCGTTTTTGTTCATTTCTAGATTTCAATTTTTTTTGCCTTTCCAATCTTGTACTCTGACTGGTTTCAATTTTTTTTTTAATTTTTCTATTTGCTCTTTGAAAAGCTTTTCAGTGACATGTTGAAAACTTCTGTCCAAAGCCCCTCGTGCGGAATGTCTAGAGATAACACAAAATATGGACTACAGAGAGCTGTGTCCAGAATTGCGCTGTAATAAGGAAAAATGAGATGGTTGTAAACACACATTTCTTTATTGGTAACAGCAGAGTGAGCTAGTCAAGCCACCACAGAAATAACCAACGGCCTATTTAGCAAGTCCTTTAGGATCTGTGCCGTATTTGGCCAGATCCGTCTGAATAGCTTTTTTCAACAGATGCTAACCACTGACGCCTGTGGAAGGAACACAAGAATTATTCACCACCTCACACTCACACACAACAGCGAATTTCTGTTAGCCTGTGACCTTTAGCTTCCAGCTCAATATTTACTTTACTACATAAACATTATACGATATATCCTTTATAGAGACGTTTTCAAATAAATAACTTATTTGTGGTTATTCATCCTCACCCGAGGACATTTTCCCATTGATTTTTAGAGAGAGTGGAAGGGAGGGGGAGAGAGACAGAGAGAGAAGGAAACATCGATGAGAGAGAGAGAGAGAGAGAGAGAGAGAGAGAGAGAGAGAGAAAGAAAGAGAGAGAGAGACATCGACTGGTTGCCTCCTGCACTTGCCCAGACCAAGGCCGGGATCAGGCCTGCAACCGAGGTACATGCCCTTGACCGGAGTTCAAACCCGGGACCCTTCAGTCCGCGGGCCAATGCTCTATCCACTGAGCCAAACCGGCCAGGGCTCAAATACATCACTTGGATACTCACTTCTACGCACATCGATTGATACGCCAAGTCTGAAATACATACTTCCAAGTAGAAATACGTTCACATCAAGTTAAGCAGGATGAGAACATGTAAACATAGATACCTGGTTCACAAAAAACCACAAGGTCACCACAGTTAAGAAAGTGCACTTGAATCAGGGAAGAAACGCACACGTAAACAGCGGAGACGAGAGAGCAGCTGCCACAGGGCCCCCCCGGGGTGGGTCCAGGTTTCTTAAGGCTGTAGCAGCACAGAGTTCCTCTGTTCAGTTAAGACTTCTCCCTTCACCCTGTCCCACATACTCTCCAGGGGCTTCACAATGAGTGTGGAAGTCCTGTAAACACTAGCCTAGAACTGAGTCAATCCTGTTGAAAACAGAGATGACAAAATAAACCATAAACTGACAGTCAAGAGGCATTGCACCAAGAAAAAAAAAAACACAACACCACCACCACCACACACCAAAAAAACAACAATAACATTAAAGGACTTGGTGTTATTTTGGGGGGGAGGGGAGCACCACACTCCTGGGGGGGGGGGGCGAGTAATGGGGATGGGCGAGAACACGGATGAGTGGCCCAGAGAAATGGCTTCAACAGCTGCTGTACATGGCAGATGGGTCTATCCACGGGCGGATAAAACAACAGGCAACAGCGGATGGTCGAGCCTCAGCACAGAAGCAGTGAACACACGACACCACATGCCACAGGTTCAAGTTGCAATCTTTTTCCCCCCGACCGGCCTCCCCGCTCCTTCCCAAGGAAGCACGTCCCCACGGGTTCTCTGAACAACAAAAAAATGAAAAAATAAAAAATAAAAAGGAGGCTCATTCTCTCCCAGTGAAAGGAAACACTTACACAACCACAGACTGACCAGCCAAAGCGTGACAAGCTCTCGCTGACGGTGGATAAAGGGCATGCTGTCCTCTCCCACCTGCTTAGGCTCCAACTCTTGGCTGCTCGAGGCCCCAGAACCCTGCCTCTCAGGCTCAGGCTCAGGCTCCTGCTCCTCCTCCTCCTCCTGCTCCTCCTCCTGCTCCTGCTCCTCCTGCTCCTGCTCCTCCTGCTCCTGCTCCTGCTCCACCTCCTGCTCCTGCTCCACCTCCTGCGCCTGCTCCTGCGCCTGCTCCTGCGCCTGCTCCACCACCTGCTCTCCCTGGCCCTCGGGCTCCGCATGCCTGTAAAAACAGTTCTCGCCGAACGGGCAGCAATCCCTGACTACAGCGAAGTACCTGCAGGTCTTGGCGCGCATGGCCTCCTTGTACTGCCGGATCAGTTCCTGCTTCGCCGCCGGATCCTCCACCCAGAACTCGCTGGGGATGACCAGGCGCGAGGAGACCCTGCACTGCGGGCAGGATTTGATCACCCTGCTCCTAAACTCCCGGGCCGTCCTCCACGTGCGGATGCACCTGAGACAGTAGGTGTGGTTGCAGTTGGAGAGGATGCCGAAGCGGCGGTCGCCCTCGTTGGCCTTCTCGTAGACCACCTCCATGCAGATGCCGCACACTTTGTCGGCGCTGCGCTGCACGGCGAAGGACAGCTCCATATCCTGCTGGTGGCGGTTCATGCAGGCCTGGATGTGGTCTGCCCTCTGGGCGGCGTCCGCCGGGTGCAGCGCCTGCCGCCCACACAACTCGCATAGCTCGCCGTGGAGATACGCGCAGCTCTCCCCGCGGAAGCAGTGCCCCATGGCGGCGTCGCGGCACAGCCGCCGCTCCCTTTCCATCTCCAAGTTCTGCTGGGGAAGCTCGGGAGCGGGGAACGCCTCGCGGCCCCAGTACGGTTGCCCCGGAACAAATTCAGTGGCATTCGCCCAGCCTTGCGCACCGGCTGCCCAGCCTTGCGCACCGGCTTCCCAGCCTTGCGCACCGGCTTCCCAGCCTTGCGCACCGGCTGCCCAACCTTCTGCACCGGCTTCCCAGCCTTGCGCACCGGCTGCCCAGCCTTCTGCACCGGCTGCCCGGCCTTGCGCACCTGCTGCCCGGCCTTGCGCACCGGCTGCCCAACCTTCTGCACCGGCTTCCCAGCCTTGCGCACCGGCTGCCCAGCCTTGCGCACCGGCTGCCCAGCCTTGCGCACCGGCTTCCCAGCCTTCCGCACCGGCTTCCCAGCCTTCCGCACCGGCTTCCCGGCCTTCCGCACCGGCTGCCCGGCATTCCGCACCTGCTGCCCGGCCTTCCGCACCTGCTGCCCGGCCTTGCGCGCCTGCTTCACAGCCTTGCGCGCCAGTTTCCCAGCCTTGCGCACCTCCGGCCCAGCCGTGCGCACCTCCTGCCCAGCGTTGCGCATCTGCTGCCCAGCCGTGCGCACCTCCTGCCCGGCGTTGCGCATCTGCTGCCCAGCCGTGCGCACCTGCTGCCCAGCCGTGCGCACCTCCTGCCCAGCGTTGCGCATCTGCTGCCCAGCCGTGCGCACCTGCTGCCCAGCCTTCAGCATCTGCTCCCCCCACAGCTCCGAGCGCTGAATCGTCAGTCTCGGCTTCCAAGGAGACCCTGTCAGTGACCAAGCAAATCGCAGGCAAGGCGCCCCAGGAGTCAGGAGGCGGGGCCCACGCCCCTTCCTGAGGCTGGTTCTCTGGCTCATAGTGCGCAGCCGCAAACGCGCCGGGGCCTAGCTCCTCCTCGGGGGCCTGGGGCGGCGGCGACCCGCGGTCCTCCCCGGCCTCCTCCGGGTCCGGGAGGTCGTGGGAGTAGCGACAGTTCTCCCCCTCCTTGCACATCCCATGGCGAAAATACCTGCAGACGACTTGGTTGGTCCAGGGGCCTGGGCGCCGCTGGCTCTGCAGCCAGCTGGGTCCGGGCCCTTCCCTGGGCCTGGCCCCGCCCACAGAGGCGTAGGCCAATCGCAGACGTGACGTGCCGATGGGGGGCGGGCCTCCAGGCTCCATACGCCGGAAGACCGGGTGCGTGCGGTAGCTGGGCCCAGCGGCCGCCTCTTCGGCCGCCGGGGCATCTGTTGCGTCCCCGGCGGCTTCGTGGGGCTCTGAGGGAGCTGCAGCCTCTTCCATTGCACCTTTTGCCCCCTGAAACGGTGCCAAGACGTGTCCGGTGCCCCCTGCGTGCGGGCTTGAAGCCCGGAGGCCAAGGAGCCGTCCCGGAGCTCCAGACGGGAAGGTGTGCCTTTTTTTTCCTTCCGCCCAGCCCTCTACTTCCGGTTGCTGTTGGTTCCGGCTTCCTCCGCCGGCCGGGCGGCGGACACTTCCGGTGGGGACACCGGCTGTCTTCTAACCAGTCCGCGCGGTGTGTAAAAAATCCCGGCGTGGGAACAAAGCCTCGCGCCGGCTTTGTTCCGGGCAGCTGGGTTCCCTCCCCCACTCCGCCCCCACCCCTGCCCCCCAGGCTCTGCAGCGGCAGCGCTGCAGGCGCGCGCGGCCGGAGGATGCAATCGCCACCCGCTGAGGTTTTGATTTTTCCTGTCGCGCCGTTCACGCAGACACACTGCATTTGCTCGTGCATATGCATGTGTCTATTTTTTAAAAAAATCATAAAAACCATAATCCTTGTTTCCCGGCCCCGCACCCCACCCCATGTTGAAAAGTTCGCCTCGTAGTGTCTGAAACATCTGACAGGTGAATGTTACGGATTTTCTGTTCGTATTATGTCGATGTGGGGCTTTTTGAATTGCGATTTGATTCTTTTATTTATTTATTTTTGTCGCTGATGGGAGCTTTAATCGTTCTGCTTTGTTGACGAGATGTGTTGTGGTCTGTGTTTTCTGGGAGTTCCTACGGGCTGGCGTGGGGGATGCTCTGATCTCCGGGGCACGAGCAGGGAGCGCTTGTGATCGGAGCCCGCCTTTCGGGGGGCGGGGGGGGCGGTTTTATTGGGATTTCTGACCGGCCTCTCCCCCATGCTGTGCATAAGCTGCAGACCTCCTTCAGCCCCGCAGCTGGCTTCATCAACGCCCCTCTCCCCCGTGGGCCCCCGGCTTTGATTTTCTTTTGCTGGTTTAAGTCGCGGTGGTTCCTTTGTTTCTCCCCTTTCTTTCCCCGAGGGTCGCGCTGCTTCGTGGTGGGACAGCCTTTCGCAGCATGTTCTCTGCCATCTGCTCGAAGCGGTGCTTTTTAGTCTCCACCTGTGAGCTCTTTGTCATCTTTGCAGATGCATTTGATTCATTGAGTAAAAACGGTTGTGAGTCCTCCTCTGCTAAGTCAGGGTACTGATCATGAATATAATCCTGAATTTTATCATGTCATTTTCTGAATAGTTTTTTGAGATCTTACGGTCCTTCCTCTTAATGTGGTTATTTGCACTGATGGGTTTTTTGTTGTTGTTTTTTAAAGATTTCAGTTACCGTTTTTCCAAGAATAAATTTGTTGTGCTCTATCACCATTTTATATGTTATTAGATGTTGTTTGCTAAAATAAATTTCTGGGAGGGAATTTTATATCCTAGATTTATATTTTAAAATGATTTACCAATAATAAAGTTAAGAAATTAATTAAAGAAAAACAAACATGAAGTAAGGGGGCAGAATCACAAATAAAATCCTTTGAAAATATGATGATGATCACTATTAGTTGAAATGATTATTGAAACTGATAAATTTCTGGTGAGGTTTATTAGGAAAATATATGAATAAGGCACAAATAGCCAAGATCAGATATTTTAAAAATAGTATCACTACATTAATAACACATTAAAATAATGAAACAATTTCAGGAATGAGATTAGCCTATTAAATTAAAAAATCTATATGAAATGGTCATATTTCTAGAAACACATTTATTATTAAAATGACAGGATCAGAAATAAACATACATATCAATCTGTTGCATAAGTGATTCTGTAATTAAGAACAATTCTTTAAATGAAAGCTTTCTGAAAAAAAATAGAAAGGCAAAATGGTCTATATTTATTATTGCAAGCCCTTGCCAGTGAAAAAGGGCAAAGCAAAAAAAAAAATGTTAGAATTGGAAAGGAGTTATTACTAGGAGACAGCAAAAAATTGAGAATAACTGATAAATCTATTAGATTTAATAAGCACATTTAGCAAGGACATCAGATAGAAGTTCAGTGTACAAGATCAGCTGTATTTCCTTCTGTTGTGATATTACATATGTATAATCAATGACAGGAAAACATTTAAAATTCATCGCATTTACAGTATTAAACGTTAGCCATCTTAGGAATTAAGCTAATTAATGTTGTGAAGCTTGAAATCATTTTTGCTCATGAAGTACTTTCCCATGTCCTCCTTTACGTATTTATTGAGTTTTGTATTGGAGGTGCCGGTTCTTCCAAAGTCTCACCCTTCCCTCTGCTAAATGTGTCTGTTAACGGATATTTCCTTGACAGTCCCGGAGCGTTTCACAGGAAAAAGACTTGGAGCTCACATACTAGGCTTATACACCAGGCTTTTCACAGACTCAAAAATCTCAGAATCCTGACTATAAACCTGTTATTTGTTTTAATCGTGCTTTGTTCCCAGCACCTTTTAAATTATTCTCAATCCATCTTTTTTTTTTTTTAATAAACCAGCACCGTCCAATGGAAGTTCTGTGGCTGTTGTATGTATGTGTTGTCCAGTGCATTGGTTACTAACTCAGTGTGGCTCTTGAGCACTTGAGAATGATTTAGGAGCTGAGTTTGTAGTTTTTAAACTTCAGAATTAGTTTAAATAGCCACACAGGGCTAGTCGCTATTATACTAGACAGTGACGTTGCCGGTAGTATTCCACCATCGTATTTCCTCAAACAGGAGGGAACAGGGACGATTTCGTAATTTGGCCAAGGCTGTGCTGCTGGCACGGGGTGGGGTGGAGGGGTGTATTTGCTTTCACATCCCCTCCTGTGTACCTCCTGGTCACGTTCATGTCCTAGCACCTCATAGGGAGCTGTATCATCTTGTTTTATAGTGACGAAATTTCATATGCACCATCAGAAACTAAACTTGTGTCTCCTGATGATAAATATTATATGAGATTGAGTCAGTGGAATTACTGGGTATGCATCTGGAGGGAAATAAGCAAATATTTCCCCATCCCAGTCAAACCACTATTCTCAAATAATTTTCCCTGTCACAGTCCATTTTCCTGTCTCGGTATTTTTTTTTCTTCTGAGCACTGATATTGTTTTCACAGTCCCTGAGAATACACATCTGGCCATTTATCTGGTTATTTGGTTCAGTTGATTCTTCTTTTCCCCCAAAGCGCTGAGGGGCTCGGGCTGAGACTTGACTGAGACAGACTCGTGTACACACTCCAGTCTGCAGGGCTGCACGAGATCTCCTGGCTGGTCAGCATTTGGGTGTCCAAGTAGAAGGAATGGAAGTGCATTCCACTTGAGCAGGCTGTGCTCAGCACCCATCCCCCCATCACCAGGGAGCAGCGTGACCATGTGGGGGGTGGTTTACAGCCATGCAGGGGTGAGACCCAGTCCAGAGAGCATAACAAAAGCCAGAGAGGCAGGAGGCTAGTGCAGAAGTGGAGTGTAGGGACGGATTGAAAAGAACCAAAGGCCCCATCGTCTTTTATTCCAAACAGCTCAGGCCTGCTGGGCTGAGCCCCACATGGCCCCTTTTCTTTCTCTCTTTCTTTCTTTCTTTCTTTCTTTCTTTCTTTCTTTCTTTCTTTCTTTCTTCCTTTCTTTTTCTTTCTTTCTTTCTTTCTTTTAATTGAATTTATTGGGATGGCATTGGTTAATCACACTCTTTTACCTCATCTGGAAAATAATAATACAGTAGTAATAATGAGTGATTAGCCCACGAGTTTACTGTGAGAACTAAATGAGAGAATTCTTATAAAATGATTGCACCCGTTACAAGGGATAGTCTATGAGCTCTCCATAAGTGTTTCTTGATTTATTTTTTCAATCATCCCAAGAATCCTGTAACTGAAGTCACTGTCGATGTGAATCTTCATTTTTGGCTGTCTGCACCTGGCAGCAATGTATCTACAGGTTGTTGGAAGATTCAGGCACGTGAGAGGTAGTGAGCCAATCCTTATTTTCTCTTACTGATAGACCCACTGACTTTTTTTTTATTAAATTAAAAAAATTTGTGTTTTTTTTTTTTTGTTCATTTTCACCCGAGGATATTTTTCCACTGATTTTTATTTTTATTTTTTAATATATATTTTATTGATTTTTTTACAGAGAGGAAGGGAGAGGGATAGAGAGTTAGAAACATCGATGAGAGAGAAACATCAATCAGCTGCCTCTTGCACACCCCCCACTGGGGATGTGCCTTGCAACCCAGGTACATGCCCTTGACCAGAATCGAACCTGGGACCCTTCAGTCCGCAGGCCGACGCTCTATCCACTGAGCCAAACCAGTCAGGACTCCACCGATTTTTAGAGAGAGAGGAAGAAAGGCAGAAAGACAGAGAGAGAAACATCGATGTGAGAGAGACACATTGGTTGCCTCCCACATGCACCCTGATCAGGGCCTGCAACCTAGGTATGTGCCCTTGACTGGACTTGAACCTGAGACTCTTCAGTCCACAGGCTGATGCTCTATCCACGGAGCCAAACCTGGCTAAGGCTAAAAATATATTTTTATTGATTTTAGAGAAGAAGAGAGAGGGAGAGAGACATAGAAACATCAATGATGAGAATCGTGGATTGACTGCCTCCTGCATGCCCCCTACTGGGGATTGAGCCTGCAACCCGAGATGTGCCCTGACCAGGAGTTGAATCATGACCTCCTGGTTCATGGGTCGAGGCTCAACCACTGAGCCACACTGGCCGGGCAAAAAAAACATACTTTTAAAAACCCATTGCATCACTCTCTTTAGTAAAAAGGTCCTGCTGTCCTTAAGTGTCATGAATAATTTTTTTCTTTTAACTGTTCAGGTGCCTGCAACTCAGATAGGATCATATTCATCCTTGGACCCTCCAGCCCTCTCACCAGGACACCTGGGACGCCTGCATCTTCACTCCCAGCTGATTGGTTAAGGAGCTGTCTGGGGGGGAGACTCCTGAGCCAGTGTGCCAATGACAGTCCCTCGAAGCACGGTAAGGACAGAGTTCGATACCTACAATTCTGAAATGCTCTCCGAAGCTGGGCTACGCCCCAGGCTTCGTGAGAAAGCTTCCCGATGGGCTGGAAGTATCCCTTCCTGGCTTCTCCTCCAGGAAGCTCTCGGTCCACTCCGTTTGCCTTCTTGGACCCCTGCCGACTTCATGCCCCACTAACTCCGTCCACCTTTTTAAAAAAAAAAAATTAAAAAAAATATATATATATATATATTGATTTTAGAGAGGGAGTAAGAGGAAGAGAGAGACAGACACATCCATGATGAGAGAGAATCAAGGATCAGCCGCCTCCTGCACGCCCCACCCAGGGGATGGAGCCTGCAACGGGGCATGTGCCCTTGCCCGGAATCGAACCCGGGACCCTTCAGTCCGCAGGCCAACGCTCTATCCACTGAGCCAAACCGGCCAGCGACCACCTCCCTCTTGTTGGCATGATTTTTGCAGAGGGTAATTTGGAACTTCAGCGGCTTTTTGGAAAACCGAAGGGTTCCCAGCTGAGAGCACAAAGGGGGAGTTTACTGGCCTGGGCGCATGCGCACTCGGCTCTTCTCAGCGCCGCGCATGCAGGGGGGCGGGGTGCGCGCTCTGCCAACCTCGCCGCCCTACCCCGACCCTTTCACTTCGGCGCCCACGGGACCTCCAACGCCTAAGACCCAGGCCCGCTCGCAGGGCACCTTCGGAGCAGGGTCAGCTGACTTCCCAGAACCCTGACCGGGAGATCGGAGCGGAGAAACCTGGGGCCGGGCTGTCGGGACTACATTTCCCACAATGCCCCGGGAGCCCTTCCGGTGTCTCGGCTGGCCGGGCTCTGGCTGGGCTCTGGCTCCGCCTGGTGGCCGGTTCTGGCTCCAGCGTGCGATGCTAGTTGTGGAGGTGAAACTGCCTCTCTAATACCTGAACTCCCCGTTTTAACTGTTGAGGAAAGACGGAAGATAGGAAATATATAAAATGGGGTCCCTTTAGCCACGCTGCTGGGATTATTAACACTAGCAAGGAAAGACCCCCTTCTCATGCTAACTAGCCTGGGAACTAAAGATCCATGGGAACTTTGCAGTCCATCCTCCATGCCTCTTAAAATGCTTTTCTCTGTGGGTTTTTGCTTCCCCCCCCCCCCCCCCGTCTGGTGCCTGGCCCCGCAGGTGTCAGCTAACTATTTCCTAGAATAAAATGCTATTAAGTTCTGAGTTTCTTTTTTAAAATTATATTTTTTATCCAGAGAGGAAGGGAGAGGGAGAGAGAGAGATAAAAGCATCCATGATGATAGAGAATCATGCATCGGCTGCCTCCTGCAGGTCCCACACTGGGGATCGACCCCACAACCTGGGCATGTGCTCTGAGCGGGAATCGAAACCATGACTGGTTGATGCGCAACCAGTGAGCCACACCAGCCGGGCAAATTCTGAATCTCTTATTCAGAAATACCTCTCAGTGGAAGTTGGTGCCTGTCTGGTTCTGCTTCGGTTGCCAGTAGAAGAAATGACGTGCCAAAATGAAGTTTCCGAGGGGCAAGGTGTTTGTCCGGTGCTGCTCTCGTCAAGTGTTAACATCTGCCGTTTTGAATCCTAGTTATCACAGACGGGCATCGTAAGGACCCAGGGGATACATCACTGCTGGGATAGACTGTCATTCGTTGAGAGAGGTCTAGTCAACTGTGAAATAACCATGAGGGATAATACATTGACTGTCTTTCCTGACCCCCAGTGGAGGAGCCCTCTTCTTATATAAATCTTGGCTGAGATAGGACAGGCTGACATCAGGACAAGCAGGAAAAATGCCCAGCTCAGGGGTTGGGACGTCCAGCAGGAACATGACCTTTCTTGAAATAGGAACGATAAATAAATCTGATCCGCAGTGGGGCTTCATAAACAGCAATATGTCTCTTGTCTGCGGAAGGGGTTTGGCGGCCAGTTTTTTTCCCCACGTGGAATTCTATAGATCTTGTCAGTGGCTTCAACCTTCTGGGAGTTAAATGCTTGGCTGCTTTGGAGCTGGGATGGAAGAGCATATTTTAGCATAGTAGGAGAGGACACAGAATAGAACAGAAATATCTCCGTACGTCAGTCAAAGTATGTTTATCGTTTTGTACACGCATATATGTGTTTATCTATCGATGGATATGTTTACATAATGATAAGGACAAATCAGAACAAGGCAACTTCTTTTTTTTTTTTTTTTTTTTCATCTTTGGAAAAAGCCAAATCGACGTTGGCAACCCTTGGCGATGAGTGAGTAATGGGTGTAAGTCTTGCTAAGTGATTGTATTTGTTTTCATTATCTTAGTATTGCGGGGCTGCTCTTGGCATCTTTCTGGCTGCCGTTTACTGGTTGGGTGGCCGTGAGCAAGTTAGCTAATTTGTATGTGTTCTGGTTTGCTTCTCTGTAATCTGGAAATACACCATCTCTTCAAAGGGTTATTGAGGAGGTTAGAGACAAAAAGCACTGTGTGCCGTACCTGGTATGAACTGTTCCGGGAACGAGTGGTAGCTTTCAAAAGTACTTAAAATATGTGTGTGTGTGTGTGTGTGTGTGTGTGTGCGCATATGTATATTGATTGATTTCAGAGAGAAAGGGAAAGAGAGATAGACACATCAGTGATGAGAGAGAGTCATTGATCAGCTGCCTCCTGCACGCCCCCCACTGGGGATGGAGCCCACAACCCGGGCATGTGCCCTGATCAGGAATTAAACCAGCGACTTCCTAGTTCATAGGTCAACGCTCAGCACTGAGCTCAAAAGTACTTTTTAAAAGGGTCATTTGTTTCTAGATATCGAACACTCATCTGGCTTTATAAAAATCAGAACTCCTAAAGTATAGCTGAAGAAGAGTTATAAATGAGATTTCAAAATAATTTTTGACAGTGAATTTTTGGCCATTGTTCCCTGAATTCTCACAAAGACCCTATTATTACTGTGTGTGTGTGTGTGTGAGAGGGGGGGGGGGGTTAGTTGAGGGGAGTGTTGACTTGCAGATATTCACATTAATACGAATATTTGATACGAACATGAATAAAGCCTGAGAAATTTGAAGGCATTCATGGAGAGATAATAAAACGGAAATAGACCCAAACATTTAAAGGCATTTAGTTTACAAAAAGGTGGCATTTTGAACAAGTGGGGAAAGGATTATAATTGTGTTGCCAAAATGCATGGTTATCTATTTTATTACACAAGTGACCAACCATTCGGAGAAAAAAAAAATTGCATCTTTACCTCCATTACCTGCAACAAATGAATTCCAGGGAGTTAGAAGATGTAAACAAACGGAACCATAAAGATTTAGCAGAAAATAAGAGTAAGTTTATTTATAATCTCAGAATGGGGAGGGGCTTTTAAAACTAGAACCAAACTCCAAGATCTACAAAGGAAAACATGATCCATTGACAACATACAACTTCACCCTTTCTATATGCCAATCAGTCAGTAACATCAAAGGCAAGTAAACAAATAAAAACACTTCGAGACATAAGACAGAAAGAGTCCCAAGTGCACAGGCGAATTCATTAAGACAACGGCTACTGTTTTCAGGCATTCGCTTTTCTAACCACACGCCCCTCTCCTCCTTATTGCGTTCTTAAATGGCAGAGTCGTTTTTGGTCAAATACGAGCTATTTTGTTCGCTTGTCTATGTTTTTCTCTACAAAATACAAAGCCACAAAGGCTGTTTTCAAAAGCAGATTTGTAGTAGGGATCAGTTTTCAGAGAGCAAGAAGAAATGAAGGGCTCTCTCTCTCTCTCTCTCTCTCTCTCTCTCTCTCTCTCTCAATCCTCACCCTAGGATATATTTTTCCATTGATTTTTGTTTTGTTTTGTTTTAGAGAGAATGGGGGGAAGGGAGGGGAAGAGAAGAGAGAGAGAGAGAGAAACATCAATGTGAGAGAGATGTTTACACCCTGACCGGGGCTGGGGAATCGAGCCTGCCACTGAGGTATGTGCCCTTGACCTGGAATCAAATCCCAGATCCTTCAGTCCGAGGACTGGTGCTCTAACTAACCACTGAGCAAAACTGGCCAGGGCTGAAGCATTTTCTTTATACATCAAAACATTCTACTTGTTTCTAAAGGTAGTTTAATAGGAGAGAGGGATTGGGGGGAACGCTGCGTGTTGTTTGTCCCATGTAAAATGGATGAACTCTGGGGATGCTCTTATTTATCAATTTTATTGTAAACAAGATGTCCGTTCTGAGCAGGTGCACACACGCACACACACACACACACACACACAGCATGTGCAAGCCACCATCCTCGATGCAAAGCAATCTATGTGCGTCACCCAGCAAGGAGTGAAATAAGTGGCCGGAGACATGTCTGCAATTTCTTTTGCTCTGGAAAAATCAAATCTTTGCTCATGATGGATCCATCTCGGGGGGTTAGAAGCAAATTAAAGACCCTGAAAATGGGGGTGTGGCCGGGGGTGTGGGGAAGGAGGGCTTAAAGCCTTCAAGCTCTGAGCAGTTACTGGATGAGACAGTACAACGGGCAATATTTTCTTGTGTCTCCCTCTGATATTAATTAAAAAATAAGAACTATGGGAAGAAGCAAAGTGACTGCTGTCAGCTAGAGCATCCAAGCCAGCGGTCGCCAACCTTTCGGACCTCACAGACCACCAGTGGCCTGAGGACCACCGGTTGGCGACCACTGATCTAAGCAGTGGCTTCTGGCACGGTGTAAATTTAAAATGAAAGTTTCCTTGGCTTTCAAAGCACATCTCCAGGGAGCCCACCCGTTCAGCCAGCTTTCTAATGCATTCTTTTTTTTTTTTAAGTATATATTTACTAGAGGCCCGATGCACGAAATTCGTGCAAGAGTAGGCCTTCCTTCCCCCCGGCTGCAGACACCAGCTTCCCTCCGGCACCCGGGACCCAGGCGTCCCTCGCAGCCCTGGCTTCGTTCGGAAGGACATCGGTCTAATTAGCATATTACACTTTTATTATTATAGATTGATGTCAGCGAGGAAGGGAGAGGGAGAGAGAGATGGAAACAT